GATCGGACGAAGCACATTGATGTCAGGTATCATTTCTTGCGTACTGACAAGAGGATTAAGGTGAAGAAGATTGGGACTGCTGACAACCCGGCTGATTTCTTCACTAAGCCTGTTCCGTTTAGCAAGTTTAAACATTGCTTAGATTTGCTAAATATTGATTACTACGTGATGTAGTAGGCCCTGAGGGGCGAAGTTGGGGAGCTCCTGGTGTAGGTGTGTTGGCATTAAGGTGGAGCTTGCCCGGGGCTTGTGATGCAGGTGGAGCATTATGAGTTGTTATACTTGGAGACGAGTATGTGATGGGTCTTGGTTGAAGACTTATCGGGATGTATGGCTTATGCATGAGTCCTGCATCGGGTTTGGCTTGAGATGTTTTTTCACTATGTCTTGATGGGGTCGTTTGCTGACTACGAGTTCTCGTCAAGGTGGAGATTGTTGATAAGTATATTAGGTGACTCGTACTTCGTAGCTTTGTCCGCCCGATCGGGCGGACATTGCCCGGTCTGACCGGGCGGAAGAAGAAGAGGTGCCTGGCAAATTCGTTGAAGAAGCTGCTCTCGCGCCCGACCGGGCGAGCCTTCGCCCGACCGGGCGAGCCTTCGCCCGATCGGGCAGACCTTGCCCGGTCTGACCGGGCGGTGGGGGTTGGATACGTTGAAGCATTCGTATGGAGTTTTCTTCTCGCGCCCGATCGGGCAGACCTTGCCCGGTCTGACCGGGCGGAGAAGGAAAAATACGGAACGCGGATTTTGCGGTTTTAGGTTATCTTATTTTATTATCTTTTTGCCCAAGTATCTTTTAATTAGGGATTAATATAAAACCTCCCTAATATCAGTATTAGGGTGAAGAGAGACAGAGTGAGAGCCGTTCTTGAGAAATACAAGAATCATCTTTGTAATCTTTGCAGTTTATAGTGAAATCATTCGATCTCGGTGCCCGTGGACGTAGCTATCACATCGATAGTGAACCACGTAAATTCTTGGTGTTGTTCTTATTGTTTGCATTGAATTTCTTTATTGTTTTCTTGTTTGTTTTCGACCTTTGCTTCCGCTGTCGCACAACAAGTACTAGTTACTTCTTTATTCTAATAAAACTTTCCAACTTCATCATGATAAATTGATAACGTTATCATTAGATAAAGACTCACGTCTTAATATGGACTAGCTAGCTATAAATAAGCTCAAATTTTCATTATCGATTTCTTTAATTTAAGCACTATTGTCTAAGGTTCGTTTCAAATCTTCCAAAAACATGCTGCTCATTAAATTTACATGTACAAGTCGAGAATCAAGTATAGGTTTGATATCAATTCAAAAGGCTCAAAACTCGTCTCCTATCATTCAATCTACATACTCTTCATATACTTTGTTCTTGAATCTTGATGGTGCTAAAGGCTATGGCACGTAATAGCATCTACCGAGTAATTAAAAGTATAGAACTTTCTACTCGAACACACATAAGAAATTGAGGAAGCAATACTTCAAACAAAGTGCAATCTATATTATTCATGTAATGTGTAATGGTTGCTTAGGTTATACTTACCAAAAATAGCTAAATGTTGAGAAGATAAACTGAAGGATGAAGTTGTTCCAACAATCGTCAAGTTTTTGCTCTATAATAATGTGAGAGTTCAATTTCGAAAATTCCTAGAGGGGTTCGTTGGGCCAATAAAATCAAAATTCCCACCCATTTGCATGTTGGGCCAACTTTTAGAGTTTGGGTAGAACTTTGTAATTGGCCCTTTAAAGCCCAAACAATCTGTTATTGAATCATATAGGCTAAATTGGCCTCAACAGCACGAACTTTTAACAAGGTGCAAGTAGCAGCGCAACATGAACTTTGACTAGTAGCTATAACAACACAAACTTCTGCATTAGGTGCACAAAATATCATAAATGAAGCTCAATACCAAAATTTTTGCCGAAGACAGGGTATCTAATATTTTATTATTATAAAAAATCATCTGGTATTGCGTGTCTCAATTAGTATGCGGAAAAAAAAATGATCAAACGAGGTTTTGGAGGTCAATTTGGTCAACATGGGTCAATTTTGAAATTAAATTAGCAAAAATAAATTACAAAAAAGCATCAATTTGCATGCTATAAAAATGTCTCAATTAAGGTATTGGGTCAATTTGGACCTTGAGGACTAAATATGATTTCAAAAATTTGTAAAAAGTTAATAAAATATTAAAGATTCCACGTCTTCGACAAAATTTCTGGTCTTAGGTTTCATTTATGATATTTTGTGCACCCGATGAAGAAGTTGGTGTTGTTACGGCTACTAGTCAAAGTTCATGCTGCTATATGCACCTTGTTAAAAGTTCGTACTGTTGAGGCCAGTTTTGCCTATCATATAATGTTATACACTCTGTATGTTAGTATGTTACAGTGTAATGTGTTGATTTTCCTAATGTTATGGAGAAGTATGCCCTCAATATCATTTTACTTACCTCATATTCATAGTCATTTACACAAGATTTTATGAAAAAAAAAATAGTGAAAAATAAAAAGAAAATGGGTAGGTTGTAGGATCCAAATATATGGAAATGTTGAAATTGAAAAAAATCAAAAGTATAAAGGAGAGAATCATTGTGCATATAAAATAAAGTTGCAATTTAAGTAGATGGTTATAACAAATATGTAGAAGAACGAGGGTGGTTTAGTTCAGACAAAGAGGGTGAAAAGTGAAATGGTGAATTCATTTTTGTCCTTTTATAAACTACGTATGTAATAGGTCCATTTCATTCGTCTAATTATGTTATTGTCAAATCAATCAATCAAACCCTTAATTATGTTACTATCAAAGAGGGCGAAAAAATTATTGTTGTTTTATATCTGAACAATAAGGGCAACTAAATTAAATCGCCCTCTAATCACTTGCTTGAACAATATGTAATCGAATCCCAACTACATCTACTATACGGAAAATAATAAAAGATTGTACAACGTATTAGTTTTACAACTACGTAAACAACTGCCCTAAACGTGTTTAACTGGTAGTTCTAGTGACTAATAAAATGCTTCGTGTATTATATTGGTTGTTGAAGAGGTGACTAGCGTGGTGAAAATATGGCCAAGAAGTGACCCGGAAAATTCAAGGTAAAGCTCAAAAAGGCTGAAATAAGTCCATTGACATAATTGGGGTCACTTAATGCTTGTTTGACAAGTACCAGGACGTCTTTGTTTGGGAACCTACTAATACGGTCGTATACTTGTATTACATCCATTCATATTTTTGTTTGGCGGGTAAGATGAGCAGCTCTATCAGATCGAATACTTATATTATATCCATTGATATTTTTGTTCAGTAGGTAAGATGAGCAGCTCTAACGGATCGAATCAGTTAAAGATCAACCCAAACCAATTTTGTGGGTTAAACACTTTAAAAATCGAAAGTAAAGGGGAAGAATAAGAGATCGGAAATCCCGGCCCTACCCTAAAAGTGCCCCTAATAGAGATTAAATCCTCAACCTCAAGGTTGAAGGCGTTAATTCTTACCACTACGCCAAGCTTTGCTTGGTATTACGTCCACTCATATGACCAATTTAAATTGCTTACGGATGCTCTTGACTCGTATTTGTATTTTAGTACCTATCAAGGTAATAATTTTGGTTTTTACATCATACCAGTACGTACATAGCAAGTAAATTATGACTTCCCTATGAAATTTTGGTAGTGTATTTGTATTTTCATGGAAGGTTTTTTACAAACTTATGTCTCATTTATCTCTTTAAACTTGTGTGCTTGTTTTTTTTATTTTTTTTCTTCAAGGCATTTAAATTTAGGAGCTCCATTTTATTTTTAAGAAATCTTTTCTCTATATTTCTTTTTTTATTGAGTTGTACCTCACACTAATTAACCTTTTTTTTTTCCTCGCTCTCAACTTTTTCACTTGTATAATTTTTTACATTTTTACACCTTGTCTTCATATTAGTTTAGAACAAGGATTATTCTTTTTCTTCAAAAAGAACAAGGATTATTCTTCCGTTCTTCAATACATTGCTTCACCAAGCAACTTTGAAGTCAAATTTCGACCCTCACCATCTACTTGTACTTGAGACTGGGGATTTCTTTACCTTCACCTATCTTCACATGTGTTGACATGTGTAGAAGAATTGATCAATGAGTCAGAGGTGTCAATCATCAGTTCATTTTAAGCTTTTAAGGGATAATACATAAAAACATTATATTGTATTCCGCAAATTGCATTGATTTTTGTAAGAATTTTTTACACATTTTATTTATCACGTATGTCAACGCACAAGTTTAATGATTAATACCTCTTATTATCACCCAACATTTTAAAAAGTTGAAGCAAACTCTTATAAATAAAGTACAAACATGTATACTCCGAAATTTTATAAATATTGTCAAAAATCAAAATGTGTTAACTTAATAATAACATACAAAGTATATAGAAAGCACTCCCTTCAGTATTTCTTAAAAAGGAAGAAAGTAAAATGAGAAAATACTCTCACATGGATTAAAAACAACTGATGTAATAATTAATTAACACACTCTTTACACTATGGAACACTTTTTACGGTCAAATTTTAATATTTTTAACATGAACATAATAGTCCCATCTTTTACAATTGAAATAATCACCAATCATAATCAAAGAAATAATTACTAATAATTAAAAATGTAAATAGTAATCCCAAATTATACAATTATTCCTCATACAATCATACATAATTACATACCTCCCACTAGGGGTGAGCAAATTGGGTACCCGGTCAAAATTTTAGGACGCGGACCCGGGATTGGTTGGGACCGCATCCTAAAATTTAGGACTTGAAATTAGAACTACGGGGTTCCGGTTCTGGTTCCGTGTACCCACTTATGTATATAATTGTTAAAATATAATATAAATTATAATACTTATTTTAGTCTATTTTCATTTTTAGTGTTTAACACTTGTAGTTATATATAATTAAGCTATTTTATTTATGTTAGGCATTAATAATATTTTTTTTATTTTATTAACTAGATACATTTAACATAATTTTATTTTTAAAAACTTATTTAGTGTAACATATGTTGGGTAAGCGGGTACACACCAGTTCCGAGTCCATAAAATCGAGAATTGGAATTGAAATCGATTGCAACCGATTCCTTCATTTATTACCCGAAATTAAAACCACCGGGTTCAATTCTAATTCCGAACCCGCCAATTCCTAACCATTTTCGATTCCAATTTTAGTTATCAGGAATTTTTGCTCACCCCTACCTCCCACCCCTAACTTCATTCTCCTACACATCTCATTTTCCAAACCTCTTTTTCTCACGCTTCTAGATTACATTCAAACTTTCAAATCATTGTCTCCTTTTACCACAAAAAAAAAAAATAAAAAAAAATAAATAAAATATTTTCTCACCACCCTTTAAATTCACTCCATACCTTTAATTTTTTTTTTTTCCTCTTTATTAAAAAATAAGAAAAGGTACACATTTTTATCCATTTCTCCCCACTACAAATACCATTTTCCCTCCCTTCTTTATTCCACACTTCTAAAAAAAATGCAAAACACCATTATTCCTCCCTATTTCTCAAAACCAACAATAGAGGAAGAACAAATTGAAGAAGCTCAAAAACTATTACACTACCACAATGAAATAGATGATCATCAACAACTAGACAATCTCTCACTCCGCGATCTCCCTATCGCCAATTCTTCATCACCCCTTCCTCAACATAACACCGCCACAATCAACCACAGTCGTCATTCCTCCACCTCCTCCTCCTCCGACCCTACCTCGGATTTCTTCTTCGAGTTCCTCATCAACAATGACGATGACCTCATCACCTCCACCGCTGATGACGTCATCTTCCACGGTCGTCTTCTTCCTTACATTCCTCCTCCTAGACCTCGGCGTTCTCTTTCTCTCTCCTCTGCCGCGGCTCGCTTGACTCGTCCTCAGCTCAATGAGTCATCATCATTATCACCTCCTAACTCGTTTCCGAGTATTCGGCCTAGCCGCTCTCTTAACTACCGGAAACTACGTCGGAATCGGTCCAACACGAAGCCCAAGACCGAGGCAATAAATAGAAGTTCGTGTAATGGTAACACTCGGTTTAACTCAGACAAAAGTCCGGCGAAGTTGCCGTGGTATTGGGCGTTGGTTTTCGGCTTACCGAAGATTCCGGCCGAAATGGAGCTCAAAGACATTAAAAACCGGCAGTTTCGCCGGAATTCTACTCCGCCGCCACCGCCGTCGTCGAGATTTTTTTCCGGTGACCGGAGTTGCTCCTCTGCTTCTTGGAAACTTCTCAATGTTTTGAGCTGTAAAAGTCATGCCACGGTTGACGTGTCCAACACGGCACCTTTTCGTAATTCCTTATTTTGAAATCATTCTGAGCGATTCATCAGCTTGTATCGAATCCCGTCTATATTATTGCCATTTATGACTATTAATCTGTAGACCGAAAATGAAAAAAAGCTAGAGAGAGGAGGTTAGATTGAAAAAGAGGCATGAGAAGAAAGAATGATGTAAGCGTTGGAGAGTTAGAAGCGTAATGGAGAAGAGATATAGTGTATAGTAGTGGTTATTACTTATTAGTGGAGTTTGTGGAAGATCATGCTAAATTTTAGGCAATTATTATGTGCCCCCTTCTATATTTGTCATCACTTGTTCAAAAGAAGCTATTTTTTTATTTTTATTTTTCTATATATATTTCTTTTGATGATGTCTTTGTTGATTATGAGGTTTTAGTTAAAAGTTTATTTAATCTTAATTACGTAGTACTTATTAATTATTACTTGTATAATAATGTAAGGAGCTAAGATAGATGTAAGAATATGATGAGTAATTAGGTTATTTTGGCCCAATTAAATAAGGTAGTATAATTCTTCTACATTATGTAGATCAAATATCATTATTTTTTGTTTGGTGAAAACCAAATCTCATCTATTTATAGTAGTACTATGTAATTTAGTTTCTCACAAAAGTGTGATCTCCTTCTATGATGTGGAACAAGAATAAATGACTAAAGACTTGTGGTCCTATAAAAACAACTTTACATTATGAGGTTGAAGAAGACATAAATTAAAGCTATGTTAATTGTAACAATTTTCCAAAAGTAATAAGCTAGAGGAAAGTAAAGGAGTGAGTTTGGTTTTAGTTGCCCACCTCAATTTATTTCTATTCCAAAAAAAATATATTACTTTTCATCATATTCAAGTTGAAAATGTAAGTTTTTAGGAGGATGATTTTAATTTTAAGTCTAACTTTTAATAAAAGTAACAGATTGAGAACTTCCTACACTTCTTGTGAGTAATACACTTCCAATACTCTGTAGTTTTACCTCATAAGAATGCTGCTTTACAAAATTAAAAGGCTACACCTTTACGCATTTACACGTTAAATTTTACTACTTTCAAAAGTTCTGCAAAATAACGGGAAGACCGAAAAAGAATAAATTCAAGTTTATGTTGTAACCCTTAAAAGACTTTATATGAAGTTTATATTTTGGGTATATGCATGTAAAACGACATAAGATTAAATGAATATCATAATATCACGGGTGATGCGTTGGTTGACATTATGGCGTCTGCTACGAGCCAATTACTACTCCCACTTTAATTGCACTCTTTCTTTTTTCTATTTATATAAATTTTTCTTTTTAATGGGATCAAATATAAATTTGATATTGACATATTGCATACGTCCTTCTCATTCCAACTATACATTTTTCGCCAAATGTTAAGAGCTTTTTTAGGAAAATAGAAATTTTTTGGCTCTACCATATATACCTTCCCTTAGCCCCAAGTACATCCAGAATCTTCCGAATTTAGTGGGAAATAAAGAAAAAAAAAAACATAGATTATAGAATACGTATGTTTTTAATTTAGTTAAAGAACATGTATTAGTAGAAGTGGGATGTTTTTCTTTGGGAGATTTTATTTTAAGTGTTGATGTTTTATGTTCTTTGGGAGTCGGATTGACGTAGTTGTTTAGACATTTGTACAATTCCAAAGTGAATGAATATTAGAGATACGTCGAACCCTATTCCGTTCACTTCACCTTATTTTTGCTAACATAAAATTATTTTGGGAAATTATCAGTGATACACCCCAAATTTTGACTTTTATCAATGATACACCTGCTTAAGTTTTAATTATCAGCGGTACACCTATACTTTCAACTAATTAATTACAATAAGCATTTCATTAACTAAACGTTAGTAGTAGGTTAATGACTTGCAATTTTGACCAATTTTAACTCCCTTCTTAGTTTCCCTCCTATATTTAAAATAACCCACCCACCCACCTCTGTCATTATATAAACGAAGTCCCCTCATTTGCTATGATTTATGCAGATGCTTCTTCTTCATTTGGCTTTTTCTTTTTTTTTTTTTTTTTTTTTAATTTCTTCTCTATTTTTTCTATTATATAATGTACTATGATTAACATTGATGTTGGAAAAGATACCAAATTTAGGCGGGGTTTTGGTAGTTAGATAAATCATAATATAACTACATTTTGAATTTGGTTTCCTATAGTTCTACGCTTTGGAGTGAGATGTTGGAATGGGAGAACTTATTTAGAGCACAGATATAGATTATAGCTTTGGTTTGGGTGGCGAATATCCACATTAAGTTTGTGGGTGGACCGTGAATATCTACAAAACTATCTCGACCTCTCGAGTTATGGGAGATGATGATTAGATGGGAATTTGTTATGGGTGCAGTGGTGCACTTACATCATATTAGAGTAAATGAGGGGGCTTCGTTTATATAATGACAAAGGTGGGTGGGTTACTTTATATATAGGAGGGATATTAAGGAGGGAAAAAAAAAAGAGGGAGTTAAAAATTGGTCAAAATTGCAAGACATTATCCTATTACTAACGTTTAATTAACGGAATGCTTACTATACTTAATTAGTTGAAAGTACAGGTGTACCGCTGATAATTAAAACTTAAGCAGGTGTATCATTGATACAAGCCCAAACATGGGATGTACCAATGATAATTTTCCAATTATTTTTACTAAAATGAAATTAATTTTACTGGACTAAAATTATTTTTTATTGATTTTCTATTATATTTCTTCTTTAAAGTTACTGATTTTTACTGAATTGAATTTTTTTTTTACTGAACTAAACTTTTTTTTACTGAACTGAAATTATTTTTACTAAATTGAATTTATTTTTATTAAATATTATTATTTTAAGTTGAAGTGAATAGGACCTTACAAGACGATTAGATGAGGATTGAGCTAACTATTTTTTATCAAAAAAAAGGGGTTAATTTAGCTAGTTTTTGAAGAAGAAAGATGGCCGCAAGCCGAACTAAGCACCACCCACCTAAACCAGCCCGATCATCTGATAGATGGGGTGTAGATTGTGGGTGAAATTATGGTCCACAACCCATTTTCCAACCTAGTCAAACCCGTCATGTACCCAATCCACCAAACCTGTGGTGGCTGTGGACCGCCCTAAACCTGAGGCGACCCTCGCTAGGGGGCTATCGTGCAAACATATGATTGAATCCTTCCCATCATCGAATGAAAAAGAGACAAAAGCAAAGCCATTCTATATTGGAAAAAAACATTATAAAAAAAAAAAAAAAGGGAAGACGGTTAGCAAAACGAATAAGTGGCCATTGAACCCTGCTGAGCGGCTCCTTACTCAGAGCCATCTTTCAAAAAACTACAATGCAGAGCTATCAGTGACATCCGCCTTGGAAGCCATGAAAGGGGGATTAAGTGGAACAGAATTGACTGGGTGGGACAAATCAATAGGAAATGCTATTTGCTTCGTGAGAAGACTTAGCTCAACTGGTAGAGCGCCGCTCTTGCAATTTTTTTTTTCTGCTAAAATTGGTTGACTGCCCAGACAACACAGCACAACACTCAATCAACCCACAACCTAACCCAATTTGGTTTAGCCCATGAACAACCCAACCTGATTCAGTCCTGTGTCACCTCGCCTTTAAGTGGCTCGGTAGCTATCTGTGGGTGGATCTAGTAAAAAGCTTTCACCTGAAATACCCCTCATATTGGTGAGTTAGGATTCAAAAATACCAATTGTATAGGTAAAAAGCTTGCAATTTACACCCTGCCCTCCTGCCCTAAGCTACAATAAAGACAACCAGCCTTCACATAGGAGATACAAGGCTACCACCTGCAACTCTGCGACGGCTGCAAGCTGCAACATAATTAAATTATTTTCACAGCTGAATCCAGAGTTCTGGACCCCTTCTCACTACTTACAATAATGAAATCGTCGAAAATACATAACTTTCTCATCGTGATAAAAGCTCTAGAAGAATGACAATGAATCTGGAAAATGTAAAGGGAAGGAGCAAATGTTCTTCAGCTGTCAAAACAATTTTCACAAGCCAGCTGATAATTTCCTTTCCAAACAACAAGGTACCAAGAAATACTTCTGCATTGTAACAATATCATAAATTCGTAACCATTTAAGAGATGAGATCCTATCTTCTCATTAATTGCGCCAATACACTTTGCTAAAAGCACCACCTCGGATCATTTCACTGATAGTGTTCATATGAGTATATGACTGCATCTATGCTCTAAAACGAAACTTTCCAGATTACATGCAGAAGCTCAGAAACAAACAGGTAATGGCATCAAATCTAACCACTAGGAGTCCAGGATCATCTACCATTTGCAATGTACATGCAACTCCGGCAACATAAAGCTCAGAAACCGACAAAAGTAATGGCATCTTGAAAAATTAACCACCAGAATCATTTACCATTAGCAAAGCACATATGCAACATAAACAGTTTGTGTTCGATTGATTAGCATTATGCCATGCTGCTGCCACGATTAGTACCCCTAATACCCCTAGAATAAACCAAAACTTCTTCCATCCCTAACTAATAGTTTACTTTCTAAATTTAATTAGTTAAACTTTGTACTCTAATTTTCTTGGTAAGGTAAATTTCATTAGTGCCCTAAAGAAGGGTCCCTAATATAACTTATCCCAATCTCCCTTGACGAGGTTTGAACCATGACCAATGTTATGGGAGATAAGGTTAGTGGGTGACTACCACCTCAGCTACCCCTTAGACCTAGAACAGCTATAGGCCTATAGCACAGAAACTCTGCCATACAGACCACAAGATAGCAAATGTGGGAACAAGGTGACCACTGAGTACTGACCTTATCACAAAACTGTGTCAAAGGAGTTCTACATAAACAAAAGTTTCCATGGAAGAGTTGTCAACTAAAACTTTGGAATTGCTTTGTCACCTCAAACACAATAAATCTTTGAAAGTCAGCATCTAACAGAAATTTGTTTTGTATACAGAATTTTGAATAGCATGATCAGCCCCTTGTAACAGTAACTAGTGCCTGTTCTGACGGTTCGAGCAATAATAGTCATAGCCTCATAAGCTTACACCACCAAAATTTAGTACTCTCTCTCTCTCTCATAGGGGCTTATAACACTCAACAGGTTACTTCTACAGAGTAATCATGCGTTCATGCCTAACAGATCTCCATGGTAACACTTCTAAGTATTATATAATCTATCCCTCTTGACCTCTTCCTCTTAGACAATGTTCAGAGAAGCAATTAATTGCGGCTCTCTATAATGCCAAATGACCCCCCCCCCTCCTCTTGAATATTTTATCAAGACTCCTAACTTTCCTATCTTGCTTCAAATTATTCTCTCTTCTTAAGAGCAATACCCTTCAACAATTCTCAAGTTGATTG